GGAGGGGACTATCAAACCTGAGGTAGGCCTTGGCCTAGTCTCCTCCTCATTTCCCCCCCCCCCGTCTCCACCCAGTAGTCAGAGAGCAGCTCCCTAGAGAGGACAGGAAGTCCATCAAGGCTGTGAGGAGATCTGCCCCAGAATGCTGCAGGAGGGAGAGTCACTTCCTGGGCGGGAAGGGCTGTTTGATATAGTGGAGCTTTTGGGCGGGAAGCCAGTCTTGGAGAATTGAGGTCAGTCTGCCTGAAGTCTGGAGCCAGTCAGGCTGTTGGCTGGAGTCTGCAGGAGGCAGAGGTCATGTTGGAGTTGTGCTAATCTAACTTCCTCCATTGAAAGCAAGTCATGTGCCTGCCCTGCCGACCATCTAGACAGGGTATGTGTAGTAAAGGGAGAGATGGAGCGATTTATTATCCACCTTTATTTTGATTCTTCAGTTCACTGTTAATATGCCTGTATACAGTTAAGTGTTTTCAAAATAAATTCTTTTACTGTTGACCCTGAGAAGTCCCTCTGTACCACATAGTTCCCCCAGCCGCTTGGACACGCTAAGAGTGGGTTGGGGACTCCCTAAGGAGGAGAATAAGGGCAAAACGGTCAGTTGCCAACTCTCCAGGGGAGCCCCGAAGATTACCAGGAAGCCCCAAGGTGGGTTCCTAGTGACATCAGAGGGAGGTTAGGAGGCTGTCCCGCAACCCTGGTGGGAGCCCAAGAGTTGGAGGAAGCAGGTCTGAAGTGCAAGGGAATTTAAGGTAACTCAAATTGGCATAAAATGAATACAAATCATGTAGCTTTGTTCTTAAATAACATGCTTCCTATATTTTAGAATACTATAGTCCTGTGAAGGAAACATTTCCACTGGTTTAAATAAGCTTGAAATTCTTATCTCTGTTATTCTTGGTACCTTTTGTACCAGTGAGGTCCTTTAAACAAGATAATCCTAATCCCGCATTGGAAGGATCATGAAGCTGGATTCCAGGTCCGAACTGGGTGATGAGACACTTCTTACTATAGTTGTGCACAAACACCCCTTCTGTTTGGTGCCAGTTTGGTGTAGTGGTTAAGTGCGCGGACTCTAATCTAGGAGAACCGGGTTTGATTCCCCACTCCTCCATTTGCACCTGCTGGATGACCTTGAGCAAGCCATAGTTCTGGCACAGCTGTTCTTGAAAAAGAGCAGTTTCTGTCAGAGCTCTCTCAGCCCCACCAACCTCACAGGTTGTCTGTTGTGGGGAGGGGAAGGGAAAGGAGTTTGTAAGCCGCTCTGAGACTGCTTTGGGTAGTGAAGGATGGGGTATAAATCCAATCTCCTCCTCCTCCTCCTCCTCCTCCTCTTCTTCTTCTTCTTCGGTTTTGTTTGCCTCATTCATATCCTGAGGAATATATTTCACTTATTTCTTTACACTTTTACTTATTGTAAACTGTACATCTGTTCCCCCACACACACCACTTTACAAATTGTTCACACAGTGGTATCCTGTAGTTTCTATCACAGCCATCTAAAAGAGACACAGTCAATATGAGACACAATATATCATCAGAGATTCTAATGTAGAGTTCTGCCAAGCCATTGTAACAGCATGACTTATTGAGATCAACCCAAAGTAAATGCATTTGCTGAACACATCAATGCCACTAGGACCCAGCCATCACAGCAAACTAGTGGAATCATGCAGGAGGAGAAATCACATGTCCCCCCCCCTTTGTTGTCTGTGGTTTCACTTCCCCACCTCCCCTTCCTGCTTCCCATCATTACCTCTGGCTTGTCTCACTCTATTGCCACACCAGCTCCAGTGTTTCACTTTCTACGTACCTGTCTATTAAGGTTTCCCATTCTTGTGCCTACCTAATCACCAATCCCACCATCATGGTGGTGAAGGGAGTTAGCAACCATGGGGAACCAAGCCATATAGCCAGTATGGCCAAAAGGATGGAGAAGGCAGGCACAGAGAGGAAAACTGGAAGCCACATGGGCTGCCTTTCCCTCCTTGCCTAATGATTGCTGTGGATGCATTGGTGTGTGCTATTTTGGGTTCCACAGCAATCCAAAATTCTCCCCCAAAAAAGAAACACCAGAAGTTCCATCACCAAATGGTTACCTGTTGTTTCTGCATTCTAAAACCAGGTTATATGGACACAACAAAAACATCCTGACATGTCTTTTATTCAGTTGGAGCCGTTGTTTTTCTCTAGCACATTTTGCAGGTGATTCAAATTCAAATATGTTGAACATCTGTTGGTCCCCAAGGAAAAGAACTGAATAAATATGCTCTGTGCCATGGAGTGTGTGTTTGTGTGCACATGTGCATGCGTGCTTAAATGTGTGTGCACTTTGACAAATTTTTATTGTCCAGTATTTTTGTTGAAACCATCTGGCAACCCTATCTGCAGTGCAGACTTGGGAGAAGCCCTGTTGCTCACAGTGGACCTTACTTACAAGTTAGCATGCTCAAGATGGGTTGTATGTGAAAATACCCTGCTGGATCAGACCAGTGGTCCATCTAGTCCAGTATCCTGTTTCACACAGTGGCCAATCTGTTACTCTGGAGAGCCAATAACAGGAGGAGGAGGAGATTGGATTTATACCCCGCCCTTCACTTGGAGTCTCAGAGCGGCTTACAAACTCCTTTCCCTTCCCCTCCCCACAACAGCAAACACCCTGTGAGGTGGGTGGGGCTGAGAGAACTCTGACACAAACTGCTCTTTTTCAAGGACAGCTGTGCCAGAGCTTGTGACTGACCCAAGTTCACATCAGCAGCTGCAAGTGGAGGAGTGGGGAATCAAACCCGGTGTAACAGGCTGGATTAACCCCCCGGCCTGAGTAACCCCGGGGTTATTCTGGCCTAGGCTAGAATAACCCCGGAGGGGTTATTGAGGGGTTATTCTGGCCTAGGCTAGAGTAACCCCGGGTTAATCTGGCCGGCTGTAACAGGCCAGATTCACCCCCCCTGGCCAGAGTAACCCCTGCCTGGCCAGGCCAGAGTAACCCCGGGGGTTAGTCCAGGCGGGGGGTTACTCTGGGCTAGCCCATACTAACCCCCGCCTGGCCAGAGTGGTAAGTTAAATGTCAGCTGAATCCAATCTCTTCTTCTTTTTAACTTCTTTTTTTAACTTCTTCTTTTTAACTGCACAACACAACAACCTGTAACCCCGGGCTTAGTTGAGTGGTAACTTAGATGTCAGTGTAACCAGCACAGTGCCAGCTTCTGAGGGTTTCAGGTCCATGAGAAACTTGTCAGGCAATCTGAGATTCCTCTTGGTAGTGAAGAACAGGGTATGAATCCAATCTCATTAGTCAACAGACCCAAATATCAACAGTACTACGACGGACATTTCTTTGGAGAGCCAAATTTTTAATACTATATAGGTAGGTACTTTGTTATTAATTTAATTATGGTACTCCTAAGGTGGCCTTTGCTGAAAACGTCCTCGATCTGATTGAGGTACGTTCACTGAAGTCGACCCCTTCTAACTCTCCCTTCCCCCCCTTTTTTTAAAAAAGGTTGCCCACAACTTTAGATTAGAAAGAAAGAAAGAAAGACGGGGAGGGCATAGAGGGAGGGAGGGCAGAGAGACAGAAAGAGGGAAGAAAAAAGCAAAGCAGGACAGCGGAGCAGACAGAAGAAGGCAGGCAGGCAGGCAGGCAGGCAGGCAGGCAAGCAAGCAAGCAAGCAAGAAAGAAAGAAAGAAAGAAAGAAAGAAAGAAAAGAAAGGGTAGAGCAGAGTCAGTATATCCAGTACATCAGGGTTAGCTTCATCTGAAAGGGGCATGGAGCCCACAATGTCAGCCTCTGAGGGCTTGAGGTCCATAGGAAGCTTTGCCTCAAATGGAGTACACTTGGTTGAGGCATGCACAGATTTGTGATACGCAAACAGAACACCAGGGATAAATTGGTCCCAGTTGTTGCCTTGGTCATTGACAAGCTTACTAAGAGATTGTTTGAGTGTTCGATTGTTATTGGGGAAGTATCTCTCTTAGTAGGAAAATACAGCAGCCCCAGAAAGCAGGCCTGGGGGGTTAATCTGGCCTGGAGGGGTTATTCTAGCCTAGGCCAGAGTAACCCCGGGTTTACTCTGGCCGGGGGGTGAATGGGGGGGTTATTCTAGCCTAGGCCAGAGTAACCCCGGGGTTACTCTGGCCGGGGGGGGTGAATCTGGCCTGTTACAGCCGGCCAGATTAACCTGGGGTTACTCTGGCCGGGGGGTTAATCCGGCCTGTTACACCGGTTCTCCCAGGTTAGAGTCAGCGCACTTAACCACTACACCAAACTGGCACTACACCAAACAGGGCAAAGAGGCCAAGGCCTTCCCCAATGTTGCCTCCCAGCACTGGTAGTGAGAGGTTACTGGACATGGAGATTCATTATAGTAATCTTGACTAGTAAGCCACTGATGCAATGTGAAAGATTTGATGTGATTATGGCCACTGCCCCAATGTAAGGAAGAGGGCCCAGTCACAATTCCGGATCAGTGAGAGGAGGCATCTTATAATCTAGGGCTGCTCTGATACCACTGTTGGCATTTTGCATTTAAACACAGCATCAATCTGTCGCACTCACAGTTCTTCTTCCTCCAGCAAACTGAATGGGGGAGCCCTCAGCTGCAGGGCAGGATGTGTACACTCAAAAGTAATTGATGGATCAAAATGCAGGCTTTTCAAAGTCTGCTTTGTGTCAAACCGAGAATGAACTGCCTTACCTTTAGATTCTTTCAAGAGTATAATATATTTTTGGTGGCAGCGTGGGTTGAAGTTGAGAGCACACAGAAGCTGGACAATAAAGCTAATTTCATGTTCTTTCACAAAGTAATCTAATTCCAGACTTTTGTTGTGAAAGCCAAACACCTTTCAGCTTCCTTGGTGAGGAAGGACTGCTAAATCAGACTCGCTGGATCAAGAACAGAGTTGTACTATTTTTAAACCAGAATCAAGCCAGATGTCATCTATTAATTATTCTGTGATAATTAGCTCTGCACATAGCTTGCTAGCAATTAGCATTTCTTACCTTTAATCTTTCTGTTACACCATCAGTGAAACTGACTGTGAATTCAGCAATTTTAGGCACTCTGAGTTTTCCTTTGTTCTTCTGGTCTGGTTGATATTCTGTTCTTGTTTTCACAATCACCTAGGGGAAAATGTTGACATCTTAACTTTTCAGAACAAAGCTGGCATATTTATGTCATCTGAAACGTTACTTTCCCATAAACTCTTGCCTTGGATAACCTCACATATAATGCTATTGCTTTTTAAAATTTACTCATGAGGAGATCAGATAAATGTGCCATCCAAACCTTCTATAACTTTGAGAATGGAATGTTATGTAGGAAAACACATCCTATACTCAGTCGGACCCCTCTCCCCACTAGGATAGGCTCCATTCATCACTGGACATGATTCTATTGGAAGTGAATTATCATAGTTAGGCTTGGGTCTCATCTAGGCATGCTGAAGCAGTGCCGGGACAGTCTGGGCTAGGGATGGGAGGTCTCCGCGCAAATCCCATATCCGTGCTCATTCCTCCTTTCAGTACTGTGCAGGCTACCTGAGATTCAGAACATGCCCTGATGGCCACTAGGCAATGCTGTCAAATGTGGTTTATTTATACTTATCTATAAATTTTCTGGGCCACCTTTCCATAAAGGGCTCAAGGCAGTTTATGAAAATAAAAGCACATGTCAGAGCACAGAATGATATAAAAAGAGCAATCGAGTGATTCTTCACCTTATATGCTCTCAAAACCATCTCTAGCTTTGCGTGTATAATAGCTGCCTCCTACCATCCAATGATTATCAGAGGCCCAAATAAACATTTGAGATTCAGACATGCCATATTCATAATGTTAAAAGCAACATATGTTTCATTTACTGCATTGCCCTGTATGGATATTTTGGTAGCCTACATTATTACCAACACTGCCTGTTCCTAATCCAGTTAAGGACACAAACGAACCAATTACAAGAAACAGAGATACCTCTGAAAATGGTAACACCACCGAGAGAAGGGAGGGGGGAGGGAAGGGCTTCTCGAAGGCATAGAAGCCAGAGACCCCTCAAGCAATGACTAGGCAGAAATGCTTCGACGTCGAGGGGGCACACATCCCAAGCCCATGAAAAGAGCCAGTTATTCTGAGGCTCTGACTACAACCCCCCAGCACAGAGGGGGGGAATACACCTCCATTCAGACTCCTTTTTTCTTTTTTTCACCACACCTCAGCAGAGGGGGAATAGGCCATCATATGGCTGCTGGGCACACAAACAAACTCCTCAGAGGGCCGTTTCAGCCAGGCTCTTTGTCCACACACCTCAGCAGAGGGGGAATAGGCCATCATCTGGCTGCTGGGCACACAGGCGACCTCCTAAGAGGGCCATTTCAGCCAGGCTCTTTGTCCACACACCTCAGCAGAGGGGGAATAGGCCATCATCAGGCTAGGCGAACTCCTAAGAGGGCCATCGCAGACTGGCTCTTTGTCCACCCCTCCTCACCAGGGAGGGGGAAGCCTTTGGAGAGAGCTCTTCTAAGTCCAGCTCTTTCCACACATGCCTTCAGGGGAAACTGGTAACAGCATGAGCAGGCCGCTCCCTTGTGTGAACCCCTAGGCAGCCAAGGCACAGAGAATGGCTGTTTATCAGCACCATTTTTAGTCATAATGACACAACACCATCAAGCTATCATTGGGGTATGATTTAGAAAAAGTTTAACTGACAAGATGATTCTCCCATCACACCTGCTTTCCTAGGAGCAAGCTGGACATTGTAGTGAACACAGACAGCCATCCTAGCTAGAGTTCCATATGAAGGGGTTTTTTTTCCTGGAGGGGGGAGCACAAAACTACAGATAGTGTGCAATTTGGTCTCAAGAATGTATTAGAGCTCCAGCGATGAAATGCGGTAGGTTAATAGTAAAGTCAGCCATCACTGTATCTAATTGCAAAGGGTTAGCCGCCATGCAGATAGATGAATCTGCACAATGGAGACAGCCACTACTGCCTCTCAGGGAATTCAAAACCCAGAGAAACCCCCAAGATTGCACAAAAACTATACTTTCTAAAATAAAAAAATTGGGGAGTTAAAAAAAAAATCCAAACAGATCAGCCTAGTCAAGGCACACATGAGGAGATCAGATTAGTCAAGCACCATTTTAAGATGCTGTAGCCACCCAAAATTGTGAGAAAGGGAAGGGTGGAAATGGGAGAACTCCCCCGTGAGTCCTCCTAGGTCCCCCTATTGTAATACAAAAGGACAGTTACAGAATTTCCCTCAGCCACAGGGTGAGCTCTGCTTCCTCCAAGCTTCATAACTGAATTGATGGATATTTAGTCTGAATCAAACACTATAGTGGTAAGTTGATTCCTCCATTCAGATGGGACACATGAATGTTTGTGCACATACTGGTTTAGTCTTCAATTAATTTTTTTAAGGAAACATTTTTTTGACAATGTGAATGTTCTCCAGGAGCTGTGGAGGGGAAGGTTCTTGGTGATTCTATAGCTAGCTGACACATCAGTGCTCTGATCGTTGGAGTCTGCTTAAAATTCACAGAACTGTTTCTTTCAGGGCTTGCTTTCAAATGAGGAGAGGTAGGTTTGGACGGAATGCAATAAGGGTACTTCCAGAGCAACCCCACTTCTCTAAAACAATGTTACCTCTGTCTCCACCATAGGGACCTCCATCTCTTCATAAAGGAAAGTTCCTTAGGCCTCAGCAGCTTTCTATTATGTATGCCTTGGATGGTTCCTGATAAGCCACTCAGGCCCATGAATCCATTACATAGTATCACAGATCAACTATGGCCCTTTGGAGCCACTGATCAAACATTTATGTGGGTACCTCTATCTTGTACCAGTGTGTTCTATTGCTATCTTGGTGGCAATCTTCCCTCTGTGCCTTGTCCTCATGTATTTGACCTATCTCTGGCCTCTGACTGTTGTGTTAAAATTTAGAATTTTAATCCTACCTCTGCTGTCCTCTAGGCTGACCCCCAAAGACACTATTAGCCTCCTTCTATAGCTTGATGACCTTCTGTCTGCTTCATGTCCCCTAGCTTAAGCACTGCTCTTGTCTAAACTGGGCATGGACAATCAGACAGACAGGGAACAGATGTTAAAAAAATAAAAATACGGCACAATTCCCCCCCCCCCAAAAAAAACCCTACAATACTGTTAGATAAGGAGGATGATATGCATGGGGTGGAGTAGAGAGAGAGTTGGATGGGGGGTTGTAGTCAAGGATTTTCTGTCTTTGGCTGCAGCCCCTACACTCTTAGTTTTATCTCCTAGGCAAAATATGTGTGGCCCTCCCAGTATTGATGTTTAGTGGGTGTTGTACTGCATATGGTCACAACAGAGAAACAGAGCAGAGGAGGTTCCAAATCTTTTTTGGAACCTGTGTGAGGGATTTGCATATATGGGTCATTTTATGACATGGTGGGGGGAAGCCTAGCTTTACCACTGAGTGTCCAGTGAGTGTCAACAGGCAGATACAGTCAAACATGGATACCCAATTAGAAAATTAGCTGGGCTCTGCAAAGGAGCAGAAAGAGAGCTGCTGGAGTGTTTCAGGGTACATCAGCATACCAAGGTGAAATAATCCACTTGGGGAAGTGATGATGAATGCTCCTGGACCATTTCCAGTCACCTGCAGTGAGTGCACCATGTTTATCTTAGAGGACAAGATGGACTACACTTGTTAGAAGTGTAAGTTGATAGGACTCTTAGAGAAGAAGGTTAGAAGTCTGGAGGAAAGGATTACTACTCCGCATGAGATCAAGGAAGGGGAGGAGTTCATTAACAGAAGACTTGATGTCCTGCACATGGAAGGAGAGACCAGTCAAAGGGACAGCAGTGTAGTTGTCTGCCCTAATAAGACTCCTCAGAGTGCTACAGCAGGACCCCAAAGGCATTGAGCAAGACACCACTCTATGCCGTTAGAACTGAGGAATCCATTCCAGGCCCTTGTGGTGGGGGCAGAGATGAAAAAAACTGCCAGTGAGAGTATCACAAACACAAGCAAGACAGAGGGAGGAGGACAGGGAGATACAAAGAAATGGCACTGGAAGGAAAAGAAAGGTGTTGGTCATAGGTGACTCCCTGCTGAGGGGTATGGAATGTCATGCGTCCAGGCCTGACCCCCTGGCCCAAGAGGTGTGTTGCTTGCCAGGGGGAAATTAAAGCTATTACAGAGGGGATCTTTAAACTCATCAAACTTGCAGAACATTACCCATTCGTGATGTTCCATGTGGGAACCAATGGCACAGCTGTGAACAACATTAAAAGCATTAAGGCTGACTATGAAGCTCTTGGGAGGAATCTAAAGGGAATGGGAGTACAGGTGGTGTTCTCTTTGGTTCTTCCTGTCATAGGACGGGGAATATGACAGGAACAGATGATAATAGAGATGAATGTCAGCTAAGCTGCCAATAGTGTGGTGTGTGTTTTCATTTCATGTGCATTCCTTCCCTTGCGCTTAATTGCCTCTTCGCTGCAACACATATCTCTCAAGGCCACTGGAGGAGTTGATGTGTCTCTGCCCAGATGGAGTCGTGGGAAGCTTCTTACCTGTTTTGCTTTTGCAGCCGTTAGTTCTCAGCTTAATGCCCACATGCGGGAACCCCTGTAATTGGGTACTCCATGGGATGTGTGTATAAGAATGCCCTATAACCTATTATGCGCATAGAACGCCCGCCATTCCTAACAGTGTTCCTGTTACTGCATCTATAGTTTTTCAATAAAAGTGAAACCTTCTTGGAAGCGTGTACTTGACTGATTTGCTGTGGGTCCTGACATACTGTTAGGAATCCTTCATTCCGTATCTCAGCACATCTATCAATTCCAATATGAGCGACGAAGAGGGGAAACTCTTACCAAAAATCCCTGATGACAGCGGGGAGTCGAATGAGGAGCCCGAAGAGCCAGAGGGAGGGATGAAACCCCCGGTAACCACAGCTTCCGTACCGGTGACCACACAACCACCAGCATCGGGAGCAGTGGGGGGCACTGTCCCGAGGTACTCGTCTGTGCATCTGTTCCTGACTCCTCAAGCACCCAGATACCGGGCTGGACAAAGTGGCAGACCCAGTTCCAGCTGGAGCCAGTTCAACCCCGATTCAACCAAAGAGACCTATCTACTA